AAGTCAATTGCATTTAAATTGTGGCTTAAATTGGTTGGCGATAAAAGTTGGGTTGTTAACTTGATTTATAGCTCTTTGGTGGTAGCGGGGAGGTGGCGATAGGTATACAATGAAAGATACTTGACATATATATGATATTCTAGAAGCAACATATCATGTTTGGTGACTCTAGCTCTTTTTATTTACAAAAATTGCCCGAAAAACAGGAAGTCGATATCGCTTTGTATCGATTGCTTGGAAACGGAGTAAGTTATCGATTATCGGAAACAAACTCGATCTGCGCGGGCACTAGGAGCACCTACATCTAGAATATATATACTTTGTGGGGTCGGAGATGCTTCCTTCTGCTTGTTACATACATTTGGATTTTGCAAATACAATAAACCCATATACCCATTTTTAATGGGTTCAGGGTATAAAAAATGCAGTAGATTCTAGTCGAGAACTCCCGACTAGGGGATACCCTGAACCCTGTTCTTCCAACATCAAATGCATTTATATATTCCATTTAAGAAGCTATATGTCAAGTTTGGTGACTTTACTTCTTATTATTTACAAAAATTGCCCAAGAAATAGGATATTGATGTCGACTTTTATCGATTGCTTGGAAACGGAGTAAGTTATCGATTATCGGAAACAAACTCGATCTGCACAGGCACTAGGAGCACCTACCTCTAAAAGTATCTAGCTCTTATAGGTTCTGAGATCCCTGCGGTCATACATACGGACAGACAGATGGACATGGCTAGATCGACTCGGCTTTTGGTGCTGATCAAAAATATATATACTTTATGGGGTCGGAGATGCTTCCTTCTGCCTGTAACATACATTTGGAGTTTGCACAAATATAATATACCCTTATACCCACTTTTAATCGGTTCAGGGTATAATAACACAAACGGAACAGTCGATGATGACTACGAGAGTCTTGGCCCCTCGCACAAAACTACTCAATTTTTAAAACAATTTAAAACCAACAAAAAAGATATTTCTAATTTAAACCTCCCAACTACTTTTACCTATTTAAAGCAAAATGAATACATCCGATGATTTTATTGGTGATTCTGATATATAAGCTGAACTTAATGTTTTCCATTCTCTGCCAATGACCCTTAAGATTCTACATTGGAACATAAACGGATACTTCAACAATTACATTAAGCTTTCATTATTAATTAAACAAGCCAATCCGGATATTAATCTTAAATTTAATACTACTCAAGTTGCAACCCCCTTCCATTCTTCTTGCGTTGCATGGCGTTGGTATACTTATACGGCCAAGTATCCCACACAAAACTATCAAATTGATCTCACCCAATTTCTCCATGGGTATTGAGCTTTTATACTACCCGAATATAATAATATTTTACTCTTATATACCCCCCAAGACTATTGGCTACAGATTTAATAAATATTATAGTCAGCTCAAAAATCTATAGTTTTCATCGGGGACTTTACCGCTTGAAGTCCGCTTTGGGTGTCCTGCTCCCGGAACCCAATGGGTTATCAAGTTGAAGATCTCATAGCCAAAAAAAAACTTAGCCATTCTAAATGACGACTTTGTCACACAAAGGAGCAACTATCCGCACGCTTGGAGAACGGCTACACTAATGCCAATCGTTAAACCAAACTAACCTTCCCACGAATTATGATCCTTTCGTCCCATATCCCTACTCGCCTGCTTGAGCAAAACACAAAAATAAACTTATCAGCCCCAACCAAACTGCATTCAAACAACAGCACAGTACCATTGACTTCCTGTTGCATATCCATCATTACGCGTCAGATGCCCTTTCAACCGGAAATCATGTAACCATCCTGGCTACTGATTTCGAAAGGGCATTTGAGCTCGTTGGAGTTCACACTGTACTCGAGCAACTTTCCCTGTGGGGGTGGGCCTAAGACCTTCAACCTCGTGAAGGCTTTCATGACTAGAGTTAATAACACCTTATCTAATTTCTATAAATTACACAACGGCACACCACAAGGGTCTCTACTCTCGATGGTATTGTTCATGATTGCCTTCAACTTCCTTTAATAACATAGTACTTAAACATAAGAAAATACAACCCTCTGCGTACGCGGACGATGTTACTATCTTTAGTAACTGCAAAAACACAAATTTACTCTTCCTTACGTTCAAACAAATACTTAACGATATCGTGGAATGGGGAAAACTCTCAGGATTTACTCTTGGCTTAAACAAATGTAAACTGTTCCATATTTGTAAGAAACAACGTTGCATATATCCAACTTTAAGTGTAAGTAACATACATCTACTATTAAAGTTCTTGGGCTTACGCTCGACAGAAGACACGTTTAAGCAACACTGTGGTAATCTTAGAGGTAGTCTTAGCAAACGCCTTAATATTATTAAAATTCTTGGGGCTAACCGTTCCTTTGTCCATCTAACATCACTAATTCATGCCACAGGCGCCTTAATACTGGCCAAAATCGACTATGGGCTGGCAATCTATGAATTATGCGCTCCATTCAACATACATTTTTTCTCCCCCGCAAACCATGCAGCAGTACGAGGTAGTATTGATGTCTTTCCCACAACCCCGACGAAATGCATTTAGCTGAAGCGGGTCTTCCTGACGAGAACTGCGCAACTGACTTTTAAGCTCATCCCTAAAATTCTTTGCTCGACCAACCCAATTCTGCTTAAAGAACGGTTAAGCAGCGCCTAAGATTTAAAGTCCCGTCTACTATCCGTAGATGTTCCAGTTTTTTCAAAAAACATCAATTAGATATGCCATATCGTTGGAACAAAATCAGCCCATCCCCTTCTTGGCAACTACAGGACCACACCGTGAATACCTCTCTCCACTTATTACAAAAATCAGAAATACCCAAACGTATATTTCAGCAAGTGCTAGCTGCCGAAACAAAATAATTCCCCAACTGGAGTTGGCTCTACCGTGACAAATCAAAAGCAGACTTTTCTACATATTCCTCCGAAGCTGTCGCTGTTCTAAAAGCAACTTAACATGCTCTCGAGCTTGAGGGAAATTTTATGATAAGCAGCGACAGTCTTTCTACTCTTAATGCCATTAACAACCAATGCAACCAAAACAGTCAGATATGCGAAATTGGACATCCCTGGTGTCAGAGAAGACTTATGGTGCAGCAGAGAGCATATCCTAAAAAGGGACGAAATAGGACACTTGCGTCCATAGGTTAAAGCAATTTAATCCGAACAAATAACTCGTCCGATATCCAGCTTCTTGGCACAGAAGACATTGCAGTGTTATCCCCCGGCTCAGAACTGGGCATACCGCCTTAACCCACGACCGCCTGCTTAAGGGGAAAGCCAAACCCAATTGCCCAAAATGCGGGGGAGAATTACCAATCCAACACATATTGAATAACTGCCCGCAACTTAATAACATTAGGACTTGTCTATTTGGTCAAATCAAACCTACCTCTCTTCTTACCACACCTACTCATAAAAATGTAAAATTGCTTATCAAAATCTTAGGCACCAATAACATACTAAATAGCATATAATAATATATATATAATTTAATATATTATACATACGATGCCTTTAGACGCTAGCACTCCCTCCCGTTAGTTATTATTTTATTTTTTGTATAATAATTAGTAACGTAAATAAATAAATAAATAATTTCCTTTGCGAAAGCAACGGCGGGGGTTATTTGCTGATGAGCACGAAATGAAAGGATAACAATTGAACATTGCAATCTCTAAAGTAGGATGATATACATACATCCTTAGGAAAGTAGGGACCTGGACACATTAGCAAAAAGGTAGTAGTTAATAAATCCAGAATCAAGAGTTATATTCAAATAATTAGAAATTTAATTGATTTGAAACACCCAAAGGTCTAAAGAGGGTCTACTCGAGAGTTGCTTTGCCACGTTATTTAATTTTAAGAATTGATTTCTCACAGAATTATACATTTTGGAGAAATCAATTTGCTTGTCGATGCATTCTGGGCACGATCAACGTAAGCCACCGCAGCCCTTCTTGGCAATTGCAGCGATCTTGTCGCAATCACGCCCAGTGAGACCTGCACATTTAGCATGCATCATATCCTCACACAGCCAGCAATTAACAAATTGCGGCAGTGCAGAATCATCAGCCTGCTTGAACGAGCACGGTTTCTTACAGCACGACATAATTATTAAATGCGTATGCAAGTTGCGAGAGCGCAGAGCAAAACGAAAACGGTGCACAAGATAGAGCAAGTAAACACTCAAAAATCAATTATTCGTACACAAATAAATTGTTTTGAGCGAAAAGCAATAGAAAAAAGGTGCGAGAGCGCGAACAAACTCACAAACAATTGTATGCAAAGGAGAGCACCAAAGCAAAAGAATCAAATCACGCAATAACAACAACACGGAACTGACGCCGCATTTAATAAAAGCATTAATTAACAGACTAACGCTTCACAACAGATAACAGTTAGCTCCTTTTTTTTGTCATAGCTTTTTAATAAAGCACCAAAAATGGAAAATTTATAAATAAAAAACAGGATTAAAACTCAAAAATATATAAAAATCTTGGAGCATAAGTAATCAATCACTCTCAGTCGAGAAGTCTCTCCTTGTCTTCGGCTAAAGACAAACTACATCCTGAAGACGGATTACATTTCATTGACACCGGCAATGTTTCTCGCGGGATAATCATCTCTCAATTACTTATATTAATATACTTATATATATAAATTTAAAATTGCCTTAATGTACTAATGCTCAAAAAACTTATTTTACTGTCAATTTGTGCATTTTATTGCTGCGCAAATCCGCAAAAAATTATAATATAATTAACGCAAGCTAACTTATAGACACAATTGGATGCTAAATGAAAACCTTTAAAAATGAATAAATATTGATTTCAAGAAAAAATTTCAAAGTAGCTTGTAAGGTATTTAAAGAAGTTTGAAGCTAAGTCTCAAGAGCAGCCATTCCACTAGTCTGACAGAAGAACTCTTTTTTATTACTGGTAACTGTAGAGTAAATACTTACGTTATGCCTCCATTCAATCCTAAACACAGGAGGGTGAGCAACCACGAAACAGTCAAAGTAAACATCAGTTCCTTCACGTAAAGCGTTAGCATCTAAAGATGCTCCTAACCGAATGTAAGCTTCGGGGATATCTGCAACAACAAACATATTACATTCGTCCTTTATATTAACTTGTCTTCACCTCATTTGAACAAGAGTTACACGTTATTGTTAATGTTTAAGTTTGTTTAAAATAAGAAATTCTAATTTAAATTTTTCATATGTATTTGTTGGATTTCGCTTTCGGAATCGCATTACAGTATCATTAGTAAACAGTCATGCAAACATAACAAGGCAGAGGTTTTAGTCGGAAGTTCCCGACCAGGAAATGACCTGAGCCCACTTATTCCAACACTAAATGCAGCTCGCGCTACGTTCTCGTTTATACTAATAACAAATTAAAAAAAAAAAAGTTGTCTTAGCAGGGTTCGAACTCGCAATTAACCGCACTACTCGACAACCACACCAGCCAAAAAAAAAAGAGTTTCCTCGATAGGGCTCGAGCTCGCGACAGACCACACGACTTGCCACCGCCTCTATTCAACAGCCACAAACACGTGTTTCTTAACCGATCTTAATGAAATTTACAATAGTATATCTTATTGTACCGTAGAATATATGTATATTCTCTAAAAGGCAATTGTATTAAAATTGTGGCTTAAATTGGTGGGCAATATAAGTTGACTTATTAACTTGATTTATTGCTCTGCGGCGGTAGCGGGGAGGTGGCGATAGGTATAAAATAAAAGACTTACTCAAAAAACAAGATATCGATATCTATATTTATCGATTGCTTGGAAACGGAGTAAGTTAACGATTATCGGAAATAAACTCGATCTGCGCAGGCACTAGGACCTACATCTTAAATTCCAAGTCTCTAGTTCTTATAGGTTCTGATATCCGTGCGTTTATATATACGGCCGGCCGGAAAGACAGAGGGACATGGCTGGATCGACTCGGCTATTGATGCTGATCAAGAATATAAGCACTTTATGAGATCGGAGATGCTTGCTTCTGCCTGTTACTTACATTTGTACAAAAACATGATACCCATTGTATCCATTTTTAATGATTTCAGATATTATAAACTTGTAAATAGTGTTGGTTAGCCCCTCTTGCACTTGTCGCAGCTGCTATAAAATGCATATTCTTCTTTATCTCCCCTACTAGTACTTTCGATGTTTATCTAGGCGAAGCAATGAATTTATTCTGAGCCACAGCCAAATAACTGATAACCAATATAATATTTGATAAATAAACGGATGTTGTTCTAAAAAGCCATGTTTTTCTTGAATTGTTGGCTATAGCCAACAATTTTGCTAAGCAACATTGGCATTAGCAGTGCATGTAACGAAATTAAATTTGGAAGTGCTATTATTCAAGTAAAACTAATTAAATTATATTGTCTCGTGGCAATTTTTAGCTAATGATCAAGCAGTTGGTAGATTTTTGCGGACATTTGATAAGTCGGAAGTTAGTCCGAGGCCGCCCATCAAATGCTACGATGGCGGCTTCATCTGCTTCAACAGCAACTCAATGCACATAGAGTTAGTCAAGGACGACTGCTCGACTGCTAAATTTTCAAGTGCCACTCATCGGAAACTAGTCAACAACCTTCGTTGGAGCGATGAAGGTGGTTGATTAAAAACGTCTCCTGTTTAGCGATCCCCACATGAAAGCATTTCAGCAGTTTTATTTCGATGATATGGAATTTGGTGGACTATTGCAGACGGCAGTGAAATTGGCCGAGCACCGTTTCTTTCAAGCTGTCGGCTTTTCTTTGCTTAATTTTAATGGGCTTCCCACTCTTTTTTGTAAAATAACATTCATAATTCACGCCGGTTTCTTTCTCTTGTAGAGAACCCAGCAGATCTACAATGTACAATGCTCTTAGTTTTAAAACATAATTCCAAATTCAAGTGCGGAGTCGTCAAAAATGCTAGAATTCGCATTAATACAATCAGAATGCATGCCTACAATCAGAACATCGGATAGCTACTGAGCTATCTTACAGACACTGGTCTGTCTAATAAAATCCTTGTCGATATGTTAAGCATAATATTGAATTCCGAAGAATATTATTTTTTACAACATTCGAAGAATCTTTACAGTTGTGCATAACGTCACATATTGCTTACCAGCCGGATTCGGAAATCGGTACTTGTGGATGAAAATTTTTACAAGTCAGGTGGGATTGGTTCCTTCTCGAAACAGCGGCATTTTCTAAATGGTGGTTGGGCAGACCAAGCTTGGAGACACTATCAAAATCTTCAGAAAGCTCTGCTTGTAGGGGTTATATCTGGCAAGTATCATTCCCAGTCGTTAAAATATTGAGCACGCTTGTTTTGGGAAAGGAGTAAATTGACAAAAAACTACAGCTACTGTGAAATATTTAGGCTATTTCAATGTCTTTAAAGTCAATCGATCCGAAACATCGGCTCTGTCTCGCCCACATGACTTCAATGACAAATAAAAGGTTCATATTTTTTTACATACCCCCGTACACTACAGCATCCCAGCATTCATTGACTGAATAGTTTCTCGTTGGTCTGACGCTGCAAGAAGATTTGTGCATACTTCGCTTTCGCTTTCGATTGGTTCGTTATGCCAGAAGAGAAGACATTACAAAAATGTACAGACAAATTGTAGTCCACCAAGTAGATCGAAAATATTTAAATGTACATTGGAGAGCAACTACTGATGCTGATTTACTGACCTTAAAGCTAAGTACAGTACTAAATACGAAACGGCCTCCGCCACGTACTTAGCGGTTCGTAGTTTGCATTACCTAGCAGATGTTAATGTGAACGTATTTCCCATTGATGCATCAATTGTGAAATCATCGTTATATGTCGGTGATCTCTTTTGTGGAGAGAACGAGTTCATCGAGTTGCAAAACATCAAGCGAGCAAAGTTTCCGTTGGTTATTTAGCATTCGAATAATTTATCTACTATTTGAATTAAAGCCCAAAAAATTGTGTTCCACAGCCACAAAGCATACTACCGACTGCGTCTTCACCGTCGTTAATTTAGGATTGCAGGCACTAATCATAATTGTCTCAAATTTCATCATATAGCAGCTATGGCTGCTCAAATTGCTTGGGATGAATTTCTTCCGCACTAACTTCAACATGGATAAAATGTGAGTCGTCTCTCAAAAAATTGTCATCGATTGACGTACCTCATTTTTATTGCAAGCTGATAGACTTGTGTTTGCTAAATTTTAACGCATGCTTCAACTGGTTGCAAACGCACTCAATTTTACTGTCAACAATTGGTGGCAACAGAGTGTCCATTAGTCAGGATCGATCATCAGAAGGAAGATGGAGACATGTATCGACGAGTTGCAACCCTACCGACATTGTGTCACTTTATTGTCTAGCTCATGAAACATAGAATATCTACTAAGGTACAAAACACTTGAAAATCTGATATCTTAATTATGGTATTTAGATTAAAGTTACCCTGAGGTCCAGGTGTAATTTCTAATATGTATGTACATTACTTAAATCCCTTCAGTTTCGTAAATTTGCATTATAGTCCAATTTTTTACACTTGATCAAAGTCATCGTCTTGTTGACATACTTTACTATTGCCGTTATTTGAGGTAAAAGCAATGTCCTATGGAATATTCATCTCTACAGTAACGTCTAAGAACTAGCTCCGCCCCCAACGGCTTCAAGTTATAATATCTCTTTGTGCCCGTTCATGAGTGCCCCCAATATCAGCATGGAGTAATGGATGCATTACCAATTGATCCAGTAAACGTACTAAGTAAACATATATTTTTGTCAACGCAGCAGAAACAAGATTGGTCCAGCCAGCCCTATCACCAGTATCATAGCAATTTGCATTCTAAGCGAAAATCTATATCGTATTTCACGCGCCATCGGACAAAGACCGATCTTTCATTCTTATAAGTTTCCTTCGCTTTAAGTAGTTGCTAAGATGGTAATTAAGCGCTCTAAGAACAAATAAGTTTTTATTTATGCATCGAATTGAATTCTCTATTGGCGCAGCCGGTAGGAGCGTTAACAAGTAACAATAAACTGACCTCTGAACAAAGAAATATTCTACTCGTAAGGAACCCATTAGTGCAAAAGGTCGATTAATCTAGTTCTTAACATAGAATTGTTCCTTTGAACATTACTTTGGAGATTATTTGGTAGTGAATTATTTTCAATTCTTCAATGACATACGGTTCAGTGGTAAACAAAGTCTGGCTCCATTTTTTAAATAGATTGAGCACATACTTTAAGTATATCCAACAGCAAGTCTACTACAATAAAACAGGATATATCCAAACATTCGTAATTTTATCACTGGGGAGGCAGCAAAGCTAGTGAGTCGACATACGCCCAGACAAAGCACAATATCGTAAATCTTATACGTAAGCTAGTAGTATGTTTAACAAAAATATCTTACGAAATAACTGATAAGCTGATGTTAGAATGTGAAGAAAGCTAACACAAATATATGCACACAATTAATGCACACAAAGAGAAATAATGAAAATAAAGAAAAAAGTTGATTACTCATTTAAAAACAGCAGACACTTTTGGTCTAAGAAAAGGCCGCCAAGCAAAATGGTCTCTAGATTTTCTTATCAAATCAAAAGCTAATCCTAATTCAAATTCGCAAATAACTTAAACGCACCAACCATATTTGAACGCTAACATATACTAACACTATCCCTAATAATAACATTCCAAATATTCGAAATACATTTCGGTCAGAATACACAAACTCAAAATATTAACCAAAAAAATAAAATAAAAACAAAATTGCGGGTAAAATTTATAATTGTTTACGAACAGGTAGCCGTATACATTTATTAAAGTCTAATTTATGTCATAAAGTATATAAACCAAACGATTCTAATGACCATTAGCGAACAACAATGCATAGATGAATATTAACTAATAGGTAATTATTGTTTTTAATGCACAAACATTTTTTAAATGAAGCTTTTTGAGATCATTACTATTTATTATTAGGGAATCCTTTACTCATTGCATATCAAGCCGAAATCGACCATCAATCAAAAACAATCACTTTGAAACGAGTATCCTTGCGATAGAAAAAGTCGACGAAATCGACATAAATGAAGAAATACCTTCCAA